TGAAAAATGCTCATGGACAAATCTAAACACCTTGACGTCAAATGCATATGTAATCATATTTTGAAATGTGCTTGCTGGTAGACTTTTGATGTCTCAAATCATGTCCTGATAGGACAAGATGTGAAGAAATATTTTTTGTAATACCACTAATGGCTCTTCCCTTTTTCCTATATAAAAGTATTATTCTGAAAAAGAAGAAGGTCACGCTTTTAGCAGCAGCTTCATGCACGCCGTCCATCTTTCGGACAGCTGTACGTACATGTTCTCGTTGTATATCGGTGCAATGAAGCAATAAAGCTTATTCTGATTCTGATTTCCTATAAGGAAACTGATTGTCATTACATACAGTACAATGTGTGTTTTGGTTCTGTTACTTCTTTGTATAGTGAGGTTGTAGCTGTAGCTACATGACTTTTGTTGTAAATTAGTTCTATAAAAAATAAACTGAATTGAATTATTTTTCACTCATTCCGTTGTAGAGATGCTGGAGTGTTTAGGATCACTGTCTTATTTCATGATCCAGTTTATGCTAATTTTGAGCTGTCCTACCCCCAATAAACACAGAAAAAATGCTAATCTTTCCAGAGGTTGTTCTTGTGTAAACAGGGCCTTATGGTAGGTAGATCACCTTGACTTGGTAATTTTAAAAATAGCTTGCATTCTAAAAAAAGTGTAGGCACCCCTCTAGACAGTTATTTTGTTTACCATATGAGTTGCCTTCTGCTGTCTGTAGAAAATAATGCAAATGAAAGATCCTTTGAAAGAGGCTTTAGTTTTTAGAAGCAGTTGTTAAAATATTTTGATAACCTGTTTAAAAAAAGTTATTATATCATAATTATTATTGTTATTATAGCATGCACAAGAGCTTAACTGGAAACATTATGTTCACCTACATAAAATTATTCGTATCACCTGACCTTAGCTCTTGTCACATAAAAAATGGACAACAAATTGTCAATGGGTAACAAAATAAACAAATGTTAGCGCAAGAGCTTTGATTTCTGTTGATACTGTAACATGAATAACTCATTGTTTTTGTCACCTATACTTTAATTGCTATTACAGTATGTTTTTTTTTTATGTTGTCTTTGATATTATATTTCCTCTTGTCTCCCATGCAATGCAGTATGTGTGTGAGAGAGTGCATTTCTGTGTTGTGGGTGTGGTGTTTTCTTCATTGTTCTAGCTGTCTAGTTGCTCATCAGCCTGCACACCAGCTATCCATCTACCTATCACTCCTGTAGTATATCAACCCCAGTTCTTAAACCTTTCACCGGCTGCTCATTCTTCCAGTCAGTGTGGATCATTGCACGCTGCCTGCACTCTTTCTCGCCTCCACACCTGCCAGTCAGTCATCCAACCAACTCACTTTCTGCTCTGCCCTGTTTCACCAGCCACAAACTATCCTCAGCCTTCACCTGCACTTGCCTTCTGTCCTTTACTAAAAACAGTATAGCCTCTTTTTCTTTCTGAGAATCTGTGTTTTGTGTTTGGGGCCTGACATATTGTGTAAACCAATCCACTGAACAGTAATATTCAGTATTGATGACATGTTTGCTCTGTATGAACCCTGAGTTATGAATTGCTTAACACCTGTGGCAGAGTGCAATACAGAAAGCTAAGCTGATATAATCTCATTTATATTGGCTTTTATGTGCATTAAGGCTGATGCACATTTCTTCCTTCTGGCTCTTGCAGGACCTCCTGGTCACCCGGATGTTCCAATAGTGACTAATGTCACTGATACAACAGTTCAGCTGTCCTGGAACGCTGGACCTGACCATCATAGTCCCATCACCATGTACATGGTGCAGGCTAGGACCCCTTTCTCTATCGGCTGGCAAACATTGAAAACTGGTAACCAACTAAAAACTATCTCTCTCTCGCTCTCTCTCTCATATATATATATATATATGTTTCACCAGCCACAAACTATCCTCAGCCTTCACCTGCAC